TCCTCAATGTGATGTTTACCAAGTAGAGGACATAATGAACTAAATATACTGTATGTGCCCCTTTTTGGGAGATCACGTTCTGAAAATGAGAAGCTTTGTTTTATTTTATTTTTTCTCAACTGTTAAGAAACTTATCCTACTCTTGTCATTTTCAGATGGAGCTGCCTTGTGGGCTGACAAACTTGGGCAATACCTGTTACATGAATGCCACAGTGCAGTGTCTGCGCTCTGTGCCAGAGCTCAAAACTGCACTCAGAAGGTGAGTTTTCTGCTATTCTGCTCAGAATATGTAACACACTAAATATAAAGGGACATTGTGTTTAAGTGAGATTTTGCCTCTCATTGTTTTTCCTTTCCTTTTGGCTGTTGATTTTGTGGCTTTGCTGAACTCATCTCTTTCTCTCTAGGTATACAGGTGCTCTGAGATCTTCAGGAGCAAATGCACCATCACAATACATCACAGCAGGTATGAGGCATCACAAATAACGAACTTTGTGAAATCACAGGCATATTTTAATGTCTTAAACTTACTAATGCATATAAAATGAATATGTACTTATCTCTGCATCCTCAGCCCTTCGTGACTTGTATGAGACCATGGACAAGACCTCATCTAGCCTCCCACCCATTATTTTGCTGCAGTTCCTTCACATGGCCTTTCCACAGTTTGCTGAGAAGGGTGACCAGGGACAGTACCTCCAGCAGGTGAGAAACTCTTCACCAATGTTAAGCTATTACTGGAATGGATGCAGCCATGCCATATGTCTTGTAGCTGCAGAAGGGTGACAAATTAAAGGAAAAATGTGAGTGGAGCCATGTGGCAAATGCAGATGCTTTCATATAGGACACAAGGAGTCATTAAGTGATTTCATGAGAAATAAAATTATGTGAATCAATTGAACACCAATCATCATTATCATTAACATTTAATGAAAATATAAAGACATGGTCTCACTTCTTGCGATTTGTTTGGGTTGTTTTTCCTCTCAGGATGCCAATGAGTGCTGGCTGCAGATGATGAGAGTGCTTCAGCAAAAGTTGGAGCCACTGGAGGCAGAGACTCCCATGGAGGTAAAACCTAATGGTTTTTTTGTGTTTGTTTTACCATGTGGTGTTTTTATGACGAAATTATTTGCAATTGATTAGTACAAATAACATGTTCCATTTTTGTCTTTGAATCTATAGACTGACACTGAGAGCGGAGCTGCGTCCACGAAGAAAAACTTCATCGACCAGTATTTCGGCGTAGAATTCGAAACTACGTATCCTTCCTTGTTGAACGCATCTTTGCACGTTTTATTTCTTGGTTTGACTGTAAAAGCTTCGGTCATAAACTGCAGTTAGTCGTATCGTAGTTGCAAAGGTCTCCCAGCTGTGTGACATTGCTCAGCTTTTCCTTAACCCTCCTGTTCAGTATGAAATGCACAGAGTCTGAGGAAGAGGAGCCAATCAAGGGCAAGGAAAGCCAGCTCCAGCTCAGCTGCTTCATCAACCAAGAAGTCAAATACCTTGCAACAGGACTGAGGCTGGTATGTATCAGACTCCAAAAAAAGGCAGCTGAATATTTTTTTAATGTATTAAAACAGAAGTGTGTGTTTTCTTTGTGAGAGAAGTTTCTACTTGATAATCCTTCACTTGAAACTTGGTTAGTTTGGATATTTAAAACTGTACTTGGATGTTTTATGTTTGTTCAGGTTTAATTGGAGTTATACATGTCAATCTGGCACATGGTTAGTTTTTCTCCAATGTATTCCAAGTTGTCTCTGCTTGTTTTATCTCTCCAGAGACTGCAGGAAGAAATCACAAAAATGTCTACAACCTTGGAAAGAAACGCCCTGTATATAAAATCTGTAAGTTGGTTTTTTTCTTTCCCTGTAATTTAACAGAAGTTCTTATATAATGCTTTATCTGCAAACTTGAGTTTATATTTAATTTCTGAAACCATCCTCTTAACCCTCTAGTCAAAACTCAGCCGTCTCCCTGCCTACATGACTGTTCAAATGGTCAGATTTTTCTACAAAGAGAAGGAGTCTGTCAATGCTAAAGTTCTTAAGGTTTGTCTTCAGCCACGTTAGTCTCTAATTTACAAAAGGGCTTTCTGTAGGTGGTGATTTTATTAGTAAGTCTAAAAAATTTTTTTTTTTTTTTTGAAGGATGTCAAATTCCCGCTCATGCTTGATGTCTATGAGCTGTGCACTGCTGAGCTCCAGGAGAAAATGCTGCCAATCAGGTCAAAGTTTAAGGAGGTTGAGGACAAGAAGCTAGAGAAACAGCAGCAAAAGGTAATGCCATATATGCCTGATAAGCTTCCACTCTTCCTGTACAGTGTAATTACCAGTTCTGTACAGTGTCTCACAATGTTTTTGTTTTTTTTTGCATTAGTTGGTGAAGAAGCCAGACACTGCACAAGTGAAATATGAGCCGTTCTCATTTCCTGATGGTAGGTTGGGACATGACACCGTAACTCGCTGTACACTTTTTTAAGGGGGAATAAAGTCAAGGGGAATCTAACCAGGTGGCAGACATTAAATTAATAACCGTATAGAAAAAGCCAATCTTCTCACTGATGGTCTTATTTGCCTTTTGTAGGTAATGTATATCAGTTTGAAATTTAGTTTAAGAATAAAAATCCTTCAATAAATATGGGCTTGTACACAAACCTTTAACAGCAACCCAAGGAGAGAGTGTGTTCAGATATTAACATTTTGGTTCTCCAGAATTAGAGAAACTGCTTTATCACAAAATTTCCACCATTTTCTAACATTCATAAATAAAGATCAGTTGTTGAATAGGCAGGTAGCCGTTTTCTTTCACTGTGCTAATAGCACTGTTACACTTATCCTGAAATATTTTATTATCCCACACTGCTAAGCACCACACTTGAGTATCTAGCTGTATAATATAATATTCTTTTAAGGTGTGCTATTTCAGCCAATGTATTGCAGTGTATTGAACTGTAACATGCTGCTGTTTCTCCTACAGATGTTGGTTCCAACAACAGTGGCTACTACGACCTGCAGGGTGTGCTGACACACCAAGGCCGTTCTAGCTCATCAGGTCACTACGTGGGGTGGGTCAAGAGGAAAGAAGGTAACCATAGTTGTTTCACACTGCACTGTATTTCAGCATGTATTGGTCATGACCATTGGCAGTATATATAATGGATAGAGCTTCCAGGTCTGAAGTGAAGCCAACACAGAAGTGTCTTAAAACCTGCATTCTATGTAAATTACAGCAGGGGGAGCTCCATTTGCTGCAATACCACACTTGTCACTTCATTTATGAGCTCAGTAAACAGTTTCCTGATGAGTTTAGGGTCTCAGTCGCTAGTTTCACATAATCTTCAATACATTATGATGTTCATTTAGTAAATTATGGTCCAATTGAGAGTAAAATAGACAAAAAGTCATGTGTGCTTTTGGGCGGGGCTACCTTTTGATTGAGAGGTCACTTTGAGTGAGTGTCCAGTGCAGAGCACAAAACTCAGAACTGTCGAACTAGGCAGTGGTGATCAAATATGAAGCTAGATAATGGTCCTGTGTTGCCTATTTCTCACTTAAAATCATTTCAGAAACATTAGTATACCGTTTAGTTGTTATACGAGATAGTGTGTGACCAGGCGAGCCGCCATTATTTCCGGCTACGGACGAGTCAAAACTGCGTAGCCAATGAGCGCAGATCAACTCGCAGTACGTCATCCGCTGACTCGCACTGAACTCTGAGGCTTCAAAGCGATACTCCACAAAGCAATGGGTGACGATAGGTTCACACTTGGTTAGTCACAAATCATAAAAGCATACAGGAACCTAATCCTAAGTGTACACAGATGTTCAGAAACCTAATGTTTCCTCTTTTTCCTGTGGTTTCTGCCAGATGAGTGGGTCAAGTTTGATGATGACAAAGTGAGTGTGGTGTCTCCAGAGGACATCTTGCGACTGTCTGGTGGCGGAGACTGGCATATAGCATACGTTCTACTGTACGGCCCCCGGAGGCTGGAAATACTTGAAGAGGAACAGTAGTTGTGGAAGATTGCCTAGAAGACAAAGACAACATCCAACACATGCATACAAATTGCCATTTCCAAGCACTGTCTGCATAGATGTGCAGTAAAACTGGTGTCTTTAAAGATTTGATGACCTTAATTTTTTTTGTTTTTGTTTTTGTAACCAACACGGATGCTTGTAAAACAAATTCTGTCAAATGGTGTTAAATATTCAACCGTAGTGGGCTTTGAAAATGGAGATATGACGAGAGGCAATCTCTGGACTGGATCCTTGAAAGAGGTTTTTAAGTCTAGCGCTGCAGTTTCATTAAATGTTTTATACACATTGTATATTTTTAAAGCCTTTGATAAGGTGCTCATATCATAAAAAGCAAAATATTTCTCTTTAGTCATTTAATCAACTTGTACAAAAATGCCTAGCCAAGCTGTTTTCCTCGACATTCTGGCTTGTATCTTCTCAGATGTATTATGGAGATTTTCACGTAACACTGTAAAGACTTGCTCTTGTTCACCTGTTGGCCCTCTGGAAAACTTGGGTTCAATCTCAGGTCTTTTCTTAAGTGCTTGGCTTGCGTCATCTCCTGGAATTGTTCTCAAATGTATTGACAGATGAGGTTCTTTCTGCCAAATCTTCACTAATGCTTTTTTGGGGGAAGTGTGTGGGGAGCCCGGTTCAGAACAGGTTGCCCTTGTGGTGAACTGTGTGCAGTTAAATAAAGACTTGAGATTCAACTGTGACCGTTTACTCACCAAGCCTCCAACATTGATCTTGCCGACACTGATTTCAGACTTTTGACATCTGTACCATTAAAATGCTATGCTTCACTTCGTTTCTCCTTGCAGGTTTTCTGATCACTCTGCCACAATGTGTAAGACCTAACCATCACCACTCTGTAATAAGTTATTGACTGATCGCTTTTCATAGGTGGTGAAAATAAACTGTTATACCAAAATGTGAGATTCTTTACTGTGAGTGAGATAATGAAGGGTCTAACAATTGTTTTATTAGAAAAAAAAACATTTATTGATTTTTCTACAGTGAAAAAACTTGTTCCAGCCTACAGTACATACAAAAATTTTAGTCTCCATTTTTTGGTACGAAAAAGGATGTTGCAATGATGTTATGGAGGTACTGATGGGTAATGAATGATCGACTTTAAGCCTCACTGAGGCTGTCTGCTATCTGGGAGAATCCTGCAGCATTAAGAGCTGTGACCAGGTTATCCACAGTAGCTTGTGTTCCCTCTCTGTCCTGCCAGGCGACAAGCAGCAGTTTGGCCTGCATGTCCACATCTTCACTGTCTGTTTCGATCTCCCGCAGCTCTGCCGCCTTCATCTCCAAATGAGAAGCCAGTGTCTTCCACTGAGCACCCAGTTTGGCTGCCATGTCATCCATCTGCTGGTTTGTCACCATCTTGCTCTGTATGCTCGGACCTGGAAGAATGACAATAGGGAGTATAAAAATAATCTCTTAATCTAAAAAGGACGGAAGTGGAGGATGAGGCGATTTAATCACTGAAACCAGGACCCTAAAGGAATACAGGGGTCAAGTGGGGGCTGGGGAAGGATAAACCAAGGCATGTTACATTTTAGTTGAATTCTTTACTTAATCCTATGTTAGGGTGTAAATAAATGTTCTATATATTCCTACAGAAAGCTTGAATTCAAGATTATTTATTCCTCTTCTAAATGAATGTATCTGTGTAAAAACATGCATATAAAAAGGAGTTGCTACTGGTGGGTTAAACAGTAGTGTGACCCTAAACAAGAGGTATTGTAATAACTACTCAAACTCACTGTCATTGCTGTCTTTCAGAAGATTGTCTCCATTGTCGTCGTCATCCTCTTCTCCCGTCTTGATCTCTTCAGAAGGGATATCCTTCTACGTGTATGGAATTAAAATCACAATATCAGCGCTTGTCAACAGTTTATGTGGCCATCGTGTGGTCTTATTAAAAATTAGGGATACTGTTTTTTTAAAGTCCAGAAAATCCTTACCGGCAGTTCTTTGGCCAGTTTGCTAACCATGCTGTCTAGGTAGTCTGCCAGACTCTTGAACTTCTGGTTAGTTGGTTGAAAGAAGTGTGGACTTCTCCTGGAGAGCAGCCTTAGAGCGCGCCAGCCGTAGTTTGGGTTCCGCACAACCCTGCGTTAAATTACAGGAAGATACAGAAGAGTCACACAAACACATGTTGAGGAAACTTGGAACAAAGCCACCAATGCTCTTTAAGATTTTGATTCTTGCCAACTTACTTGTACTCATCCTCAACCATGTTAGCAGGGTCGGCCTGTTCAATGGCCTCCGCAAAGAACTCGTCCAGTGATGGCATGAACTCCCTGAAAGAAAGACAAAAGATGTAAAAAAAAAAAAAAAAAAAAAAAAAAAAAAAGCTTTTGATTTTAAGGTGAATGTGATTGTAGATGGGGGTTGCTACCTGGTTTTCTGAACCACTGACCTGCTGTCTGACTTGCATGCCTCCATGTTGTCCTGGTTCAGGTTCCACAGTCGAGTCAACTCATCACTAACAAAACAAAACATACGAATGAATTAAGAAAGTAAACACAGGTTTGTTGTTCACTCTACTTGAGCTTTGGTCATCCTGTAGTATAGTTTAGCAGGACGGAAGCTTAGCAGTGTTCAAACTTCCGACTTAATATATCAAAATCTCCTTCATCTGTGTGTTATTGTGTTCTATAGCCCACCCCTGTATTAAGTCACATACTTTCCCATGAAAAGCTTGCGGTCCGGCCCTTTTCCAAGGAAGTCTTCTGGAGCTTGTCTTTTCCTGGTTGGTCTTTTGGGTTTGTCATCTACTGTCCTGTTAAAGAGGAAACAAGCGTGTTATCTCGTATGCTTTGCGATTCACCTGTCTCTCTGCTCACTCCACAGGTGACCATTAGGGTAAACTGGAATTAACATTCAATCTATGTGTTTCTACAGTGGTATCGGACCAATCAACATCCTATGAAAAACTACTGGCAGCTGTGCGTGTGTCAACATGTAGGAGAATTGTGAACAATGGCAGCTGCTAAAGAGGTTAGTGTAGGAGCTATCAGCACCAGTTATATCAGAACTGAAGAGTATTTCTTCATTTAAAGAAGAGAAAAGTAGTGTGCTGAAGGCTTTTCCTGATGAAAAAATGTTTTTCCCCCAGACTCCCAACTGACTTCGGTAATAGTTTGACAGCGTCATATGGTTTGTTGATCTGACTGAAGTTTTCTTGTAATAGACAGATGGTTCATCCAATCATCTGCAGAGTATTTTGTTGCGAGTGCCAGCCCTTCTCCAAACAATTTCCCGAGCATCTGGTGCAGTCAGGTTAACACCTGAGGGCCCTGGTGTGTTCCCAGGTTATGTATTTCTGTCTGCAGAGCAAATATTTCTCTCTCTCTCTGTCTGCAGTGCTCTCTCTGTCTGCTTTCACCCTGACAGGTACCCATCTGTTTGGTTTAGTATGTTTGTTTAGTATTAGTTTATCCTCATGCCTTATCTCACATCTTACAACATACACACACTCCACTGACTATACGGACATCCACTCTACAATAATCCTTAATTGGCACTTTAATTTACTTAATTTGGTTTAATAAAATATCTTTTTGTTTAACCGTTACTGTCTCCTATTTGTTGCTGCCTAAGGGCTGGGTCATAACACAACTGACTAATCAGTGTACAAATAAAATAATTGCTTCACCTTTCTTTCACAAAGCTCGGGCATCCCTCATTTTTCCAGCTATTCCAGTTGTCCTCTGTGTTGAGGATATGCTGTCAAAAGATAAGAAACATTTCTAGTTTACGAACAACAAACTTGACAGGATGCGACTGTGTACAGCCATCTTAATTTAATATTTAATATAGTTTTCCCAAAGCTTACCTCAACCATGGTGGCAAACTTGTCTCCATCAGGAGGGATCTCTCTCAGCAGCTACAAGAGAACAGTCACAGATTAATACAGGTCAAGGAAATGCAATTAAAAAGTAAAACTGTCTAAATGGCAAGTATCTCAAAACCTTCCCAAATCAAACCAAAGTTATTGGCATGGCTGATTTCAGTGTGCTGACTCCTATGTAAGTCTATAATGATCAAGGTAAGATAATGTGAAGACAGTGAGGCCCATTACTTTATGGATTACAATATCTACTAGTATACATGATATCTGTGTGACTGACCTGATAAACCAGTTTCGTTGTCTCTTCAATCCACGTAGTCTGGTCATCATTCAGAACAGAGTTAGAGCTGTACAAGGAAAAAAAGAAATACAAAATATGAAGCACCCAACAACTGATGACTGTTTTTTTCCACACAAATGTAAGTTTGTTGTTCTACAAGGTCAGAGCAGAGACGTGCTTCACCTTTTGAACTTGACCTGACCCTTCAGGTACTGGAAGAGGATGAGGTACTGCAGTAGAATGTGCCGCCTGAAGTTGCTGTCACTGAGCTGCAAGTCCATCAGCTGGAGATGAAGAAAAAAAAAATAGTGAGGTAATATCCAACCTTTTTTTTAAGAACATAGCTTTGTTTTAACATGGTATGGAAATATTGTATACTGTAGTCAAATTCCAACATAAAGAGTTTTCTCACCTTCTCACTAGTTAGAAACTTGGCAAAGTAGACATGTTCTCCTCCTGTTGCTCTCAGCTCCTCCAGCTTTCTCTTAGAGGCCTGCATGTCATCCAACTTGTAGCTCTTGAACACTGCCAAGGTCTCATCTGAGTACTGTGCAGGACAAAGAGGACTTCACATTGGCAATGGGTCACTACGCAGCATCTGCTTCGGTATTTGTTATTTTCTGACAAATGGTGAGCGTCGATTAAAAAAAATGTCCTCAGCTTTTGTGCTCAAGTGCATTACCTTAAGAAATGTCATCCAAGAGAATTTATCGTAACACTGCACAGGGTTTCTGAAGTAGTCCTGCAGCGTCCAGAACTTTCTGTACAAGTTGTAGTCAATTGGAATGGAGCTGAAAGGAAAATTTCATAGTTAAACAGTAACAAGCAAAAGCATAATTTAAATTGAAAATTTTGAATGTTTATTTTAGAGCTTCACTCACCATGGTGCAGGAGCATCATCCTCTCCCATTTCTCCTTCCTCCACCTCCATACCCTCCTCCTTTTCTTCTGTGTGCTAAAAACATGGAAACCATAAAATAATATTAAAGCCAAAACTTTCAGATTTTAAAATTCTGTTACGGTCAGGTGTTTACTCTTTACCTTCTGGCCGAGAGTGCTTTCTTGTTCATTTTTGTTGAACACTGTTATATTGTCCAGATTAAACTGGCTCTGAAGATTGAGACCTGGAATTAACACAAAGGATACGTTAAAAAAAAGTTTAATCTGACGTGGCTGGAATGGTTTCATTTATTCAAAGATAACATACACAAATGCCGTTCCTACCTGATTTTTCAGACAGAGGGAAGAGACGTGCCAGGAAAAGCTGAATTCGCCCACAGAACACAGTATTCTGAGATTTGGACAGCCTCCTTAAAAGATCTAGAAAGATTGAGAAGTATGTTACAAACAACTGTCTTTTAAAGATGAAAAGTCTTATTCATCAACAAGGATAAAGTACAATCCTTACCATTACACATCCTCAACAAGTAGTTCTTCCCGGCAGTGTAAAAAGAGTTCTAGGAAATGGAGGAGCGTAGACATAGTGATCAAATTAATTTATATTATGCTGGAGAAATACTTCAACTGCCTTTACTGAGAGGCTATAGCTTATTTACCGATTTCCAGGTGGAAACATTCTCCTCGACAAAAGAGAATATTTTGTCACATTGGTCAAGAGGGAGGCAGTCCAGTACATCCCCCAGCAGAAGGAAAGGAGTTGTAGCAGAACAGATACCTACATGAAGAGATTGAAACAAGACAGCAAAAGCCTGATGAGCACAAATCTTAAGCTTTGTGAGTTGGGAAAGCCTGAACTAAAAAAAACCTACACATGTCCACCAGCACCAGGTGGTCAGATATTGGTGCTATCTGAACAATTGTACGGTTTGTGTATAGTCAGACGACAACATTGGTGACATTAAAGATGTGTGTAATATTTAGGAGAGAATATTAGCAGGAATGGAATAACATATTCATAGGTATGTTTCCTTTAGAATGAGCCATTTTTATCTACAAAGGAAGGGCGTCCTCTTCTACGGAGGCCGCCATGTCGAACCGCCATCTTTCTACAGGGCCTTTAGTTTTGTGGCCATCGTAGTTTCTCCTAAACACTTGGAATGAGGCAAGGGTGTTGTAATCTGCAACTACACTGCTAGATGCCACTAAATCCTACAAACTGGTCCTTTAATGTAGACATTACTGGTAGCAGTAACAGATGACACATAAAAGGACTCACTGATAAATGTGAAGAAAACAAAATGTAAACTCAACCTCATGGTAGCGCTAACAACACATACATTACTACTTCACAAGCACTACAAATGAAATTAGGTTTGCAACTAGGCAAATAGGAGCACTTTCATGAAAAACATCCCATGGGCAGTGGTAAACAAGTGCAGTCGGTATGTGGTAAGCGGGATGAGGGACTATTTCATGCAGTCTTAAAACTTAAAATGAAAAATAAAACCCAATGTGAAATCAAAAAGTCACAAACATAAGATGAAGCCAGTTTGAGTGAGGCCTCAACAAGAAGAACAATGCTCCTAAATCCATCCTAAATACCATTGCAAGCCAGTGCTGTGAAGGTATTTGCATTTACATTTAATGTCTCAATTCTGTTTTACTGCAAAAGCAACTGCTGGACATCAAGGTACCACAGATAAAAACCTAGTAGTGTCATGTAATCCCATGTCAGGTGGGTAATGTGAATGGTACGAAACAAAACTAAGTATTCCTTCATTCATTGCTGTCTTTCCTACAAGTAAGAGTAACATACCTTCTGTAACTGCATCAATGCTCAGGTAGATGAGAGACAAGTACTCATCACAGCTCGCTTTCTGCTCTACCTGCAGACATAAACGCAACAATGTCGGGTTTAAATTTTAAAATATACAGCCAGGTCACTTCTATAATAATAATAACAATAACATTTAATAATTTACTTACAATCTGATCACCAAGAACACCCCTTAGCGCCTGGTCAAGAGTGGTTTTCTTCTCTGTCTCACTGTAAACATACGACACATGAAGAGATGTTTCATGAACCAACGTTACTGATGTTAAATCCATAACTTACACAGAAGGTACACTCGCTTTACTTACTTCCCCGGGATCTGGTTGAAAGCATTTACCAATTGCTTGCCGTTTTTAGCAGCTAGGGCGTGTATGGCAGACGCCTGTAGGTGTGTGAGGAGTAAACAGAGCAGGTTTATGAGAGAGGACACATCGTTCAGATAGCTAGCATTGTGCTACCTGCTATGAGGACAGCAACAGAAGCGCAAACAGTAACTTGCAGTAACCAGCCTGCTATCTAACTGTGACTTAAATGACAGAATAGGGTATGTGACAACACTTGCTCTGATAAACAAAGGCTACTCTGCGATTTCTCACCGTAAATTTGTCTTTAGCGTCGACAAAATTAAACACGGACGGCGACATCTTTACACCTTCGCGACCGGAACTGCCGCTAAACTTCTTCCGGTTTCTTCTTCGGCTGTGCGTAAGGGTGCGTTCAGGAGCATAACGTTACTGTCTGTCATATTGCCTGGAGCCAGTTATCTATTTTGTACTTATGTATTTTGTCAATGTCTTTTTAATTTACTTAATTTAATATTTGTTTAATCATAACTCAGCTTTAACATTAAACACTGCTACCTCTTTGTGATTTGATTTGCTCAGTAACTACCATTGTGTATCATTAGGTTACTAGTTACATTATATGTAATTGCACATAATGCAGAAAGTGTGGTGCCACCTGCCCTTCATTTTAATAGGAGCAACAAATTCCTCCATGATAAATAGAACAAATTGTAGCGTATCATGTTTCCTCATAAATGAAACAACTATTAAACACAGTCCCCGGTTTTATGACCTGTTAAAATTAGATAAACTGGATGGGCATATTAAGTAACACACTTCAAAAACATGCTTTCTGAAAAAATCAAATATGTGAAACTGTCACATCTTAGTGTCTAGGGAAGATGTGGTACTAAGCATGATGACGGCCTGAGTGAAATAATGGAAGATATTTTGAGAAAGATTAAATCTCATAATAGGATGAGAAGATGCGAGTCTAACTTTTATTACTGATGTAATTGCATTATGACCTTCAGTGTGACTATCAGCATGCAGGCCTAAATCCAATTTACACCAGAGGGCGGCAGCGTTGCACAGTATTTTTGCCTCCTAGTTGAAGCTGTCAGGTCATACACATAAAAACTAAGTGGTGTCTGTGTGCGTGAGTGTGTGTAAGTCCTGTACCCTTGGCAGGATAAACATGAAATACACCCTTTCCTGATGATAATCCTTGTAGCATTTTACGTCACATGGACATTACCTTCCACAGAGGTCACAGCAGTCATATTGGTGTGTTTTTTTGCATGTGTGTGCGTCATATTTACATTACAACTACTGGGCTGCAGGGCCTAAAGTCATTGATAGCATTGTACTGATCACACAGCACATTAGAACCAGCGGTGCATTAGACTGCAACGTCAATCATTAAAAGCCCTGTCCGTAATTTTTTAAATACAAGTAAATACAAATACAAATAAATTCAAGGTGGAGTCACACAAACAATCGATTTAGTTATTGTTTTGTTGGTTTAGTTGAAAATCTAACTTTTTTTTATAATGGCATTAATAACCTGGATTTGGTTGATGCCATGTGTTAGTATGTGCCTTAAAACACCTGTAAATCAATGTGAGAAACTCTGGCCCATTTTTATTTGTGTTTACAAAGCAATTTCATGGGTCAGGACCTCTGAAGTAATTTGTTGTAGTAGGACTAGTCACCCTCTGCTTCTCCTGACAACTGTTTACAGGCCTGCAGTTACAAAAGCAGTTAACTGAACCTAAGGGTGTTGTGCTGATGTTTGGAGAAAAACACCAAAGCTGTTAAAATGCTGGCCAGTAGTGTTACACAGAAAGAGCTGAAGGGTCATTACTACATCTGTATGGTCAGAGTGGTCACAAAAAGAGGAAGTGAGAACTGTTTTACTCTGCAGTTTTGATTGGCACCTTGTTTCTCACCAGCACAGTTGTGCACACAGTTCACCCGATATCTAGCTGTGCCCGACCCCCACAACCCTCCCTTTCTGACACAGCGTTTATTGAACCATTGCCAAAAACTGATGAAAAGCAGAAAGGGAGTGAGCATGAAGAATAACTCTTAGGTTGCAGATAAGGACCCAGCATCAGTCAGTATGTGGAGATGGGGTGAAGAGTGATGAAGGGGGCTTTCAGGTTAAGGTTAAAGGCAAGTAGTCCTCAAGTTGGAGCCAGTGTATGTCCATTTGAATGCAGGTATATACTCTGTATTTTTCTTTTTGACAACAAACCCACATGAACATACCAACATCAGTAACGTGTTAGTCTGTCTCTCAGTTCTTTCTCAGCTGTCTTTGGCCCCCCACCACATTTCCTTCTGAAGATGTAAATCCTTAAGAACAGGTTACAGATATGTAGTTTTGTTTTTAAAAAAAGACTACGTAAATTAGCTGGGTACTGCAGCGTTCAGCAAATATAATTCAAACAGAAATAAATAGCGCATTTGTTTGGCACAGCAGCAAGCCGGTATATGTAGGATTTAACTAAAAATAAACTACAGTGCCCATGTTCATTGTAATGGAGGAATGTCACTGAGTGCAGCACTGTGAATCATTAATGTGTTTCAGTTTTTGGATAATTGAGCTATGGCACAGAGGAAGTTATATCAGGCAGTTTTTGTTATTAGGATCAATTCATTGATAGTCATTTGCTATAGGATATTTCCAGTTCTTTAATGTATTACTATTCATTTGTGAAGTTGTGTGTTTGTGAGTTATATATATATGTCATATTGTTGGATTGAATATTATACTGTTAACTCAAATCAGTTTAAATCAGGTTAAGCCTTCATCCCCAACTGTTTATTTTGTCTTGATAAACATAATGAGAGGACCACTGAACACTGTCCCATGCCAAGTCATGGAATAATCAAGCTCAACATGAGAGCCAAATAATTTGATGAAGGACAGTCTCAGACAAAATGACTGAGGGGCAACAAAAAGAGCATTGTCCATGTTGTTGAGGACAAACTTCAAAACAAGAGGCTAAACACAATGCTCTGACCTCCGAGGTTAAGCACACAAAGGAAAGAGTTTTTAGATTGGCTGCGTCATATGACTGGCCTCTGAAATTCCACCATAAAAAATCATGTGAAGTGTCATGTCATATAAGTGAGATAAACCCATCAACACAGCTTTCCTGCGTTGATGGGTTTGAATTTAATAGCATAGTGCAACTTAGTATGGGTAACCAAACTGACAGTGTTTAGTAACATACACCAGAGCAGAGTAATATTCCTCCTTAAAGGGAGGAAAACCATACAGATTGATGTACTGACTGTAGATACATATTATTATTCCACCCATTGCAACTAAATGTAATGAAATATGTTGATTTATGCAGGTTTTGCAGATCAGTTTAGCCTCTTCCCCTTGCGTGTCTATCTCTTGCATTTATGCTGTATGTTGCATTAAAGTTTGTGTTATATATTGGTGATTTTCCATCATGGATTTCACCTGGCTAGTTGTGTTGCAATAAGTGGAACTTGCACATGATAATATAACAAAAAGGAACACCTTTACTCCCTCACAGGACATTGTAAAATTATTTGGGACACAGACATTTTGTTAATGATCATTCACACAGAGCAGAATAATGGGAACGCTCAACACTGGGATGTGCATCCAACCACAGCGGCTATCCTGCCCCTGATTGGTGGTTAAGCTAACAATAACTTGCATCTACTTAAACGACCTTGGCTGGATTGCCCTAAGACCACATGGTTTCTATTGAGAAATGTTCAACAGTGCAGTTTAAAGTCACTTGATGGTTATTCAATGATTAGCCCAGGGTGTGGGGATCATCAAATACCCATAAGCCATAAAACGGGATGTGAGAGGGGCTGTGTGCCTAGATGGAGAAAGGACATTCTTGTGACACAGCCAAACAGGAAATCTCCATGATGTCCACATCTTGTCTAATCATGCCTTTTCTTATGAAGAATTTAAAGTGCTTTTATGTGCAATTACCTGATCCACATCCTTGTGTTGATTTTTGGGACTGTCGCCAAACACCTTGAATAGAATAATATTGTATACAGTATGTGATCCATTATGAAGAAATAATGTCAGGGTCAAGCAGACCTAAATATACAATGCATTATTCTGGTAGCTGCATAATGTAGATAAGGAAATGTAGACCATATTTTGAACTTTGCAATTTTTTAAAGAAATTACTGAAATTGGATGAAAAATAATATTTATTATAACGTATTCATTGGTTAAAAATACACACATGAAAAAAAGCAACCATAAAAATTAATCAATAGCCATATTTAAAGCACATCTATGAATCATATGTTGAATGTTGCATGTTGTTCAGTTTTTCGGCCACTGACTTGGCCCCGGGCTGCTGTTGCCTTCTCCAAGTATTTCACCTGCATCATTTTCATCTTCTGGACCATTAAGCAGGACGTTCCAGCCCGTTCTGAAGTTTTGCCTTCGCGGACACAGAAGGAAATCATAGATAAGAGCTGCTGCTGTGCCGCCACACATGGGCCCCAGCCAGTAGACCTGTAATGAAAGCAGAGATCAGCTACATTTGTCAACAAAATTGGATTTTAGAGGAAAAGCTTCAAACTTTTTGCTGATATTACCCAGTGATTCGTCATTTGACCCTGTATCACGGCTGGTCCGAAAGAGCGAGCTGGGTTGATACCACATCCAGTGAAACTTATCTGTAAATAGCAAATTGATTTAGTTATTCAACAAATTATATTCATATTAGTAGTTTGGGAATATGCAGTTAGCCTATGTATGTGCAAATTAACTGTGCGGGCCATTTGTGCAATCACAAGGTAATCTTACAGTACAATAAAAAAATTCAGTGTTGATTGACCAAAATAAACCCTTTTTAAAAATGATGTGTTCAGTGTTATATATGACCAAGTATCTTTAAGGTTGTTCATTGTGAGAGGCTAATTGTGGCCACTGTTCCTCTTTGTAATGCAGTTTAACACATGTGATACTAATGATTTTCTCATAGCCACATTATACAAGTTAGTCTTGGCACCAGGCAGTGACCCATTTGTAGCTCTGCAAGTTGCCTTATGGTGCCAGGAAAATACACTTATAAAAATGTGACACATGCTGATAATTTGTATTCAACATAACATGACATTTGTGGAGCTGTCGTTGCAATTGTGATTTGCTGCACCCGCTTCCTGAACTGCTGGCACATCAGCCACACACACGGCAAAATTATGTAACACAGTCTTGAATCATGACAATTCCTGCCAAACACAGGAAAACTGTATTGGCACAGAGGAACAGTGGTCTCAAGTAGACCCTTACTGATGCTGACTGAACAGGATATCCTTCTCAGCGCTGCGAATGACCACAAAAGGAATCAAGCATCAGCACCTGACAGTCTTAAAACAAATCTAACATAATAATCTTCAGCAAATTGCTGTTAACTGCACCCTCTATCATTCAAATTAAAACCTCATCCATCCCTACAGCACTTATCTTGGCTGAAGTGGTAACCTTCTCCATTAAGAGGCTCCTTTACAACATACATCTGAAATGATTTTAGTCTGCTGTTGGTCTTGTCAGAATTGCTGTAAAATCCTACCACAGATTTAGCAGAATATGGGATTGTGATTCACTTACAGCTGCTAAGTGCCCAAGCCCCACTGACAGCCCAATAGCCAGCGGTGCAGAACCGTTAACATCACTTCGTCGCTTATCAGTCACTGCTATCACACACAGAACCAGCTGAAGGGTGGCAAGGAACTCTATGATGAAGCCTTGTCCTAGAGTCGTCTTTAGCTGTACAAAACAAGATCAACAGAAGATAAATGGAAATTACGTAAAATCCCAATTCATTTCCTGTCAAAACAAATGTATAAAACAGACAGGGATGACCCCTTACCTTGTTAACACCAGGGGATAGTCCATTCCCAGATCCGTTCGCAATAGCACTACCTGCAACTGCCCCAAGCATCTGAGCCAGTATGTAGCAAACACACCTGATGGCACTGATCTGGCAGCTGACCAGTAGGCCCAAAGTGACTGCAGGATTTAAGTGTGCCCCACTGATGTGCCCCAAACTCTGAGCCAGTGTGACAATGGCTAGTGCAAAGGCCAGAGAGACCTTCACCTCCTGAGCAATGTTCTCCCCCTCATTATTCTTATCTTTTCCAATGACAGCAGTTATAGCAATGAATATGAACAGCAACATGCCGACAAACTCTGCAGCCACAGCCCTCCAAAAAGCCCAGCTTTTTATTTCTGTCATCTCTGCTTCAAATGTGTTAAACCAACATGTAGGTGCTTTGGTATTTATAGTGGAAGAGGTTTGTGTGCAGAGGGGAGGAGAAAAGAGATGAAACAGGAAAAAGATGTGCTGCACAAGACTTCAGGTCACATTTGAGCACTAGAAAATTTTTATTTGATACAAATGAGCAGTATACAGTAGAAATATCTACTCAGATTAGCTCTTTTGAACAATCGCGGACATCCTCCAGAAGGGGCTCACGAATTTCCTTTTCTTGTGAGCTACAGCAGAATAGGACTCTTGTTTGTTTGCTCAAGGGCTCATCTCTGGGTGCCAGCAGAAAATTGTACAGAAGAGCTGCCACCACACCAGCACTCATTGGTCCTGCCCAGTACACCTGATGAACAAAAACAGGACAGACACATCCCTGTTTAAATAAGAATGACTCATGAGTCCAACACTTGTAAAATACCGGATTTAAAGCTCCACAGTACATACCCAATGATCATCAAAAGACTCCAGTATAATTGCAGGCCCAAAGGATCGAGCTGGGTTGATACCGCATCCTGTGTAGCTGATCTGTAAACCATATCAGAGGAAAACACCACTTGGCTCTCTTGGCTGTACATGAGCAGATTACATGCAAACCTGATTTACAGCCAGTCCATCCTACGCCAATCCATTGTATCAGGCAAGAGCAAGATGGAGAAACCATCTATTAGATTAATGAGGGGGGAAAGGTTTTGATATACTCACTCCAGCAAGATGACCCAGCGCTACAGACAATCCAATCGCCAGTGGTGTTAATCCACCAACGTCACATCTTTTGTCAGTGACTGCAAGCACACACAGGACCAGTTGGAGGGTGAGCAGGAATTCTACACCATAACCTTTATAAGGGCTGATTCCATTTAACTGCAATAGAGGAGAAAACACTTCAGTTTGCCTCTTGTCTCCAGATTAGTAGTTAATTATGATTAGGAGACTCTTTTGCTTCTTCTGTAACTCTTGCATTATGAAAAAGAAAATCCTCAAAAACCTTAAATGGAATCAAGCATGCTTCTAAAAAACAAAAAAAAAAAAAAAAAAAAACAGTTCGACCATGCTTTAAGTATTTAGCGGCGTGAGTTCAGTCCTTAACAAATTACCGCAAAGAACAGCACAAGCTATTATCCTAAAAACACTCCCTGGTGAGAGAAGGCCTGCCTTTGTTGCATGACAGCTAAACCAGTAGTGATAATTAAAAATTGACATTTAAATTAAACAACTTATCACCAGCAGTTAGCAAATGTGTTTTTCTTATAGATTAGAACACACAACTTTAGACAATGAGTGTCTGGCTTTCACAAGGAAACAAGACCAGGCTGGAGACAATTCCCCAAATGCCATTCAACCTGAACAGTGCATGTCATTCATTAAGGGGAGCATTACTCAGGGAAATTGGAAGCACACGGATTCCACCTTACCTTGTTAACACCAAGTGAATCTGTGGTGTTTGGCCTAATACCATACACAATGGCACTGCCAGCCACTGCTCCCAAAATCTAAGCTATTATGTAGAAAAAGGCCCTGAGGATACTCATCTGGCAGCTGACCAAGAGGCCCAGGGTGATGGCAGGATTCAGGTGGGCACCGCTGACATGACCTATACACTGGGCTAATGTGGCAATGGCCAAGCCAAAGGCAAATGCCACTTTTATCTCCTGATCAGGATAAGAATTATTTGGGTCCCCTATTGCAGCTGAGAGGCCAGTGAAGACAAAGATGATCATTCCCAGGGACTCAGAACAGCCCTCCAAAATACCCACGTTTTTATTTCTGACACATCAGATAATTTCAGCCTCATGCTAACAAACAGGTTCTGAAACACAAAGACTGTGGCACAGGCAGAAATTTGGTTCCACCAGCAGCACAACTGACAACATCATGAGTGACATTCACCAACATTCATCAAGTGTGTGGCTTTAAAAAATCAGGCCTAATTACAAACAGCTGAGAGATATGCATTGCAACCAGTGAGAATGACCTCCACGTCTCCTGTTCTCTTCAGTACTTTTCCAGTTTAACAGAAGGCGGTGCTGATTTTACTGTTACTCGCAAACCCATTAGAAACCACACCAAACTGTTACTTTGTGTGAGATGTGTTGACTGAATGACTGAGAAAGCCTGTTTAGAAAAAAATAGGCCATCCCTCCAAATGACACAGGAATAAAAATTAAAAAAAATTAAATTATGCAACACATTTTCAATAACTTAGCTTAATTGCCGGCATGTAACATTTTAAATGTGTGAAGGACATTCATCAAATGTGTGAAGGGCACACACTGCCCATTACTGCTTTTTACAAGTCTTTGTACTTGGTATCCCTATCTTTCAATCTACTTATTCTATTCTGAGGATGTGTCATGCAGGGCCGGCCGCATTGAAGTTAACATCAGTCATATGCTGCTGTGAAGGAAATGGGATCCTTTTGAATTCTCGACAAGGAAACCAACCACCCCTTCTGCTTTTCTGTGTGAACGGACTGACAGGTTAAAAGGTCACGCTGCTTCTTGTCATCTTGTCAGTAAAAAGTCAAAGCATCACCTTTGACTTGGCCAACAATAAAGAAGGATACCTGCCCATTTTTCTTCATCCTGATATTGTTAATTCATTAAACTTTTTTCTATTCTGAAATCTAATAGTTCTTTCCCCCATATTCTGTCTGAGATTCGTTTTAGATTGCTTTCAGACATTTAAAACCACACTACAGATATACTGTAGTATAACATTTGCAGCCAAGATACCTGAGATGAGAGATGATAACATAATTGGGAGGATCATTACTTCAGAAGAGAAAGATGGGAGAGGAGTATAGTAAGGAACTGCACATCGTAAAGCAAATATCATAAGAGAGTGGAAAGATAATTGTGGAGTACCGACAAGAAGGACAAAGGTTGTGCTTTCTAACCCTATGAGCAGCTTCACGGACCTGCCATCTGTCAACCAATATTTCATTTTTCATTTCTTTTGGTAGGTGCATATCTGACACTATCTAACTCTACTGTAAAGCCTTCCATAAGCTCCACTTCCACCCTTACATACACCTGTAGGGTCTGAGTCTACAGAGGGAGGAAGTAGTCATCACCCCGCCCCACTCCCTGCTGTGCTAAGCTTGGGGTTTCCTTGCCAGGGGTGAAGAGGTCAGACTCTTGACACGTAACATAAAGTACATATACCACGTTTGCATAATAATTTATTCAACATGAGTTTAGCTAAAGAACTTCAGCTAAATTTATCACAACAACCACCAAATCACCAAATCACCAGCCTCAACAACACATTGTTTGTGTTATCCAAAAGAGAATAATACAGACTGAAATACATACAAATCACAGATAAAATGTAAAATAATGTTTAAATCAAATAAAAAGTTCAAAGGCTTAACCTCAATACAAATAAATTAGCAGCTATTTAAATATTAAAGCTGCAATAGGCTAAATCTGTGCAAACCTATGCAAAACCTTCGCTTTTCTCCCCCTGCTGTTTCCTATCCCTCTGATAAGCCCCTCCCACCAAACCCACAAGCTTGGATGGGAGCAGAATGAGTTGGTTTGATCAAAGTCTCCCGTCAATGGCCTAGATTTTCTAAAGACTGAAAACAGAGCCAAGAGCCGGTGCAAAAGTCATGAGCTCAACTTAACTCAGAGATTATAGGATGAACACAGACAACTCAACCATGCAGTAAACTGAAGCAAGTCAAGTACATAATCAATATGTATGCTGGTCTGTTAAGCAGAGTAAAATGACACTTACAGCTTCCAAGGTTTCCACCACCCAGTTGCTTAAAATAAATAAAAAACATAAAATCATCAAACGCGGAATAAACAAGTATAACCACAGAAAACCATTGTTTAAATTAAGTTTAAATGGTTATGAACGAGTTTCTAGTGTTCAATTAGTCCAGTTTGGATTTGGCTGTTGATCCTCCAGCACTTTATCCAGAATCCAGCTCCAAAGCTTGAGTCAAATCCTAGTCCCTGGTGCAGCTGTCCATTCAGTCTGCTGGGCAAAAGACTCCTGCTGAGCCTGGATGGTTTTCCTTAAATAAGGCTCATAATCACATATAATTTCCCTATCACAAATCTCCCATTCAATTTTTCCTAGAAACCTTTTGTGATCTGTCCCCTCCCACAATGAGATCATCTGTTGTTGCAAACACATATAACATATATGTGAGGACTTTATCAGTACATCTACTGTACTATATGTATTTTAAGAGGTGTGATCCACACTTAAATATAATAATTTGACATTAATATATTACTGAAAATATCTTTTTGAGCTAATAGGCTGAATCAAAGACTCATAGAAATGGGGAATTGAAATTCTTGGAAAACAGTCTGTGAGCCAATGGAAACCTTTAAAGGCCCATAAAATTGTGACTTCATAGAAAACTTGCTTCCTGGAAGACTGTGTTTTCAGTGGTGATCTCACTCCTTACTGGTAGGCGTAACTGAAAACGCCAACCAATACAGCCATCACAATCTTTTGAACAATCCATTCCTCCTATCAAATCAAACTGCCTGTCTCTGCCTAAATGATACACCATTGGTTTGGAATTTTAGTTTAGCCAATCATATTGTTTATCTGAAAGAGCCCCCCCCAAAACTGGACAAAGATGAACTGATGTCATCTGGTTTATTTCATATAACATGTTGCCCTTTTGCATCTGAGAGACCACATGACTGACATCCACTCCAGCCCTGTTCTTACAAAAAAGAAAGAGATTTTGGTTTTATGCCTGAAACCAAGGAAGGAGTGAAAGGAGTGCTGTTCCTGCTTAAAGATGTTAACCACAGTGTGGTTTTCAGTCTTATACATCTTGGCCTTAAACATATTTGGATCCCACCAATGATACAGTTGACTAATGGGGGGATTTATCTTTTAATGGTTAAATTTAAAGCCCAGCCACTTGAATCAACATTGCTGTACAAACGGCCCATTGTAACTAGAAGGTGACCTGCTAGCATATGACCCAGTGTACTGCAGTTGTGACCCATGCCTAA